TTTTGTGGCCAGAGGCCATAAACTACGCGACAAAAATATTTTTACGTAGCCATAAACTTACAAACGTTGGGAAATTGAACATAAAGGCGGCTTAAACTTACTTCAGTTGCAACCCAAAAACTAGAAAACTAAAGAAAATCGAAATAAGAACATGAAAGCACGATGTGGAGAAACGAGGAATATCTGCATATGCAGGACAGTTCTGATGCACTGATTAACATGAGCATTGTTAGTGAAGCAGATCGTTTTTACGAGTGTGGTTCAAAATAAATTATATCATTACTTTTTTTTATGGCCCTACTATATTATTACCTTTCTTTCGGTGGCCAGAGGCAATAAGCTACGTTACTCTTTATTAGACACTCGGTGCTGTTTATAAAATATTTTCACGTATACTTACATACGTTGGGAAATTGAACATAAAGGTTGCTTAAACATACTTCAGGTGCAACCCACAAATAATAAAACTAAAGAAAATCAAAATTAGAATATGAAAGCACGATGGAGAAACGAGGAATCTCTGCATATGTATGACAGTGCTGATGCACTGATTAACATGAGCATTGTTAGTGAAGCAGATAGTTATTACGAGTGTGGTTCAAAATAAATTATATCATTACTTTTTTTTTATGGCCCTACTATATTATTACCTTTCTTTCGGTGGCCAGAGGCCATAACCTACGTTACTCTTTATTAGACACTCGGTGCTGTTTATAAAATATTTTCACATAGACTTACATACGTTGGGAAATTGAACATAAAAGTCGCTTAAACATACTTCAAGTGCAACCCACAAATAATAAAACTAAAGAAAATCAAAATAAGAATATGACAGCTCGATAGAAAAACGAGGAATAGCTGAACATCTGTGACAGTGCAGATGTTCGATTAACACGAGCACTGTTAGTGAAGCTGATCGTCATTAGGAGTGTGGTTCAAAGTGAATTATATCATTATTGATTTTTTTCTTTATAGTGGCCAGAGGACATAAACTGCGAGACACTTGATTAGACTCTCGGTGTTCTTAAAAATATATTTGTTCACGTAGACTTACATACGTTGGGAAATTGAACATAAAATCCACTTACATTTACTCCAGTTGCAACCCAAAAATGAGAAAACTATAGATAAAAAGATTATAATGATATAAAATAATGCTTATACGCCTGATTAAAGCCACGCAAGCTAAATTTGATGAATCCACAATTTTTCCTATCACAATTGCAACCAATTTAACTGCGTCATTTCGCACAAAGTCCATTAGTCAATTCAGCAAACCCCTGTACACTTGCCATAATGGGGGGTTAAGAGAAAAATGCTACTGTATAAAAAAGTATCTTAATATTCAGTAATGGTGCTTCTCCCAGAATGAGAATTGTGATAGCTTCCATTAGACTTTTTGAGCGAGCAGGGATTTTCAGCCCAGATCGTCTGAGCCGGAATCAGGATAATTAGTTGCTTGTGCAGACAAATGCACAATTTGTTTAAGCCAAATATAGAACAATAGTCTCAATATTATGCGCGGAACCACGCCATGGAACAAGAGGTGCTTTCGGGAAGTCTCCCTGCACTGATACCAAACTCAAAGTTGAAACGAAAGTTCTTGGCAACCGCAACTGAATACAGAGAAAAGTTTTCAAGCCTCTCATCGATTTCCTAAAATCCTGAAAAACATATCGAGAATCAGTGTCCATAGACATAAGGTGGTTACTGCAGTGTTTATCGAAATAAGCAATTTCAATATTCCGTTCATGAAGAACAAACAGTCACAAATTTTCGTGTATTTGCTCGTTTACCTGCAGTTTCGGTAATATTTCTGTCCTTTGACTTCCAATCTCACCGGCAAATAAGATCATTTTCTGCATGATCAGAAAAGGAGATTTAAGCAATCTCATTAAAATTCAATTCGGTATTTAGAGTAAACCAGGCCTGATTGTTCTTCCGTCTTTGTTTTGACCACTGATCTTGCTTTTAATATATTCGTTGGCGATTACTGTATCTTAATTATCGCAAAATAAATAGCAAAAGAAAGACTTGCTTTGTGTATTTCACAATGTAAACAGGTAGGTCTAACTAAAATTTTTCAGCGATGTATTTAATTTCAGCGTGTAAAATGGGGATCGATAATTTCAATCCTTGAATTTACAATTCGGACAACAAAACAAACAAAGTATGCCAACTACCTACCCGGGAACACCTATATAACAGTATTGCCGTTAGCAAAGTGGATAAGATTCTTATGCAGGTCAGTTAAGCAAATACAGTGCAGCTGATGATGAAATCCATTCTAGACTGCATGATAAACGACCAACCGAGGACTGAACGACGTGCCCGTTCCACCCTGCGAAGAGACGTCGTGTATGCCTTTGAAGTCGATCGAGCGACTCAGATGGAATCCTCTTCGAACAAATTTGCATCTACGAATCATCTGAGGATCCAAACGCACTGAGAGCATAAAATCGTACCGCTCTTTAATTCCTGAATCACGATCGATATGAACATTACTCGTACGGAAGCTACCAAACATTTAAGCTCAACAGATTATCGCTGTGGTATGAAGTGCTTCAGTTAGCATGTAGAACTCGTTGCATCGAGTAAATGATGTTCCTCGAAGATGTTGGACAGTATTCATGAAGCTAGGCATGCATTTTAAGATCATTTCCATGATATTGATCCACCCTTGAAAGCCGGTTACAAGGCTTACTTGTTTGCTATGGACTATGAACTCTTACTATACTCTTATAACCTTTATGTTCTTTCGGATATAAATACATTAATTATAGTGCACCGCCCTTAGTAATACCTGACGGTCTTAGGCGCCGCAATGTGTAGCGAATTCCCACAATTTGGGATTTAAGTGGAAGACCAACCAGCGAAACTCAAAGAAGTCGATTTATGAGCCGAAGGTCTGAAATAACCCAACTTAGACACTTGCCAAACGAGGGCAGAAAAACAAACCCTATCAGCTACATGACTTTATAATGAGAAGCAGTCCTTCGATCTTCCGTGAATCGGTTTAATTTTGAAATGATAAAAAAATCACCCAAACTTTATTCAATAATTCAAAATATGACTCACCTCAACCTCACTATTCACCGAAGGTTCAGAAGCCATACGAATATCCATTCACAGGATTCAAATGCAAAAATTATCTTGCAACAGTACAGAGAGTTACGCACGTTCCATGCGCTGAGTCCCTGAGGATATGTAAACTGATCTCCCCTTCTTGGGTATACTGTGTAAAACAGAAAACCAGGATCCTTTCAGAATTCTGTGTTCAAGCAATAGCGATAGAAAAAATACATTAAAAAAAATCATAGATGATAAAATTCGAAGCACTGTTGTAAAAATATAAGGTAAAAAATATAAGGTAAAAAATATAAGGTAAAAAAAAAAACAACTAGTTAAAACATCAACAACCATATCATTCAGTGTTGCATGCAATTTTTGTAGAAAGTAAAACTCGATGTGTTGAACGAACAGTTCATACGAATTACCAAGAATTTTTAAATATTACTTCGTAAAACAATGGTGGACTTTCGCCCATGATGATTGCTCATTTATCTGAGTTCATACAGGTATATCTCAGGAATTGAGTTTATACAAGATTTGCAGAATGATATCAAGAAGTGCCAACAAATGTGGGTCAGTTAGCCCAGAGCCCTGCGTTTTCTTTGACTGTAACGGGAAAAAAATGCTCTGTCCGTTTGCCAGAGAAAATATATAGATATGCAAAAAACTTAGACACACATCTGTCACCGTGCATGCACGTGCGACTAGCTCAACATGGAAACGATCCAAGGCAACGAATACAATTTTACTTGGCGCAGACCGCCAGTGACCCTGTATGTGGTATAATATCAATTGATTGTTTGCCTAGAGCGTATTGAAATGAAACTGATGAAATCTCTGACCTTAAAACAGCTCCATCTTTTAAAAGCGTGGACAAGCTTAAACAATGGTAATCAACTGGCAACTTATAAGAGACTTAACCGCTAAGCGAAAAGAAGAAAGACATCCGTTGTCTAAGTGCAGACCCCAGTCAACGTGGGGTCCGAGGAACTAAATTTTGCAATAAGAAACTGATTTAGCTCATTAATCAACTAATTCACTAATTAATGTCATCAGAAACTTACGGAGGCGAGTCACGAACATTTTAAGTTACACTCCGTCTTGATGGCTCCGATTTACTTCTACTTTCCACTCGAATTAAGGAGATTACGTAATATGACAACAATAAAATGAAAGGCGAAGGGACGGACATGGGGAATTTGGCTTAAATTTCTTAGAAAGCACCAACCGTTTCGTGGCTCCTTAACATTCTAATAACAGTTCCAAGATCGTGCTTGAGCGCCAAGAATGTGAACTTAGAGTTCCACAAGCTCTTGCCAAGTGTGCGGGCAAGAATTCGATTTATTTCGTCCTACATGACCTTGGCATTTGCAGCGACACGGATTTACATCAAATTTTATCTATGGAAGGGGTAACTGAGAGTAACTTTCAGATTGCGTGTTTTAAAAGTGTCCTGGCATTTTGGTGGGGAAATTGTTACATAATTACAAGAATTTCCCTTAGTCTGAACTACTTTTTGTCGACCTTCTGTCTTACACGGTCTGCTTGGCCGTCCCATTTCCTGTTTTAGCTCTACACTTCATATCATACCTGGTGATAGCTTGGTTGACCAGACGCCTGAGAAAACGATAGAATTATCGACGCCGATTTTGCCGACGAAACCTACAAACTCGAGAGATGCCCTCTTTTGTTTTAACCGAAGATGGGCATTGATCAGCCCGTCACCTGTGTTGTAAATTTCAACATGACACGCAGCTGTCATTAATGTTTTTCAACTGGTTGACTTTGCCAAAAAAAAAAAACAAAAAAAAATTATATGTACTTCTATATTCATAGGGGAAACGTGCTGCTACGCGGTGTCTCTGCGACGAATGATTGACAAATTCTAATTTTAGCAAAAGTTCAAAGCCATCAAATGAAAGCCAAGGTGAAGAAGACTTGCACTTTTATTAAAATCACTGCACCACACAGAGTGCATACATTACTATTCTGTGCCAATAAATTTAACTTCTCACTGAGGAAAGCAATCAGAGTGTTCAAATAGGCTGGTATGGACTTCAATAAAACGAAAAAAAAACGTTTCGCACGAGAAGAGGTCTTTGATCACTGCTCTTAAGAGGGTAATAAGCGGAGCATACGTTCCTCCCCCTCGCCTCTCCCACAAGCAGAGAAAACATTTGATTAGCAAAATATTCACAATCCATGAAGACTGAACGGAATTATGAGAGAGGACGGGGAAGGGAGGTTTGTGAAGGTAACATAAGGGTAAATCCACCTCGCCTTCAGAAGAAAAAAAGCACACAAAGTTTTCACGGAAATAAACAACTTAGTTAAGGCAAAGCTCTTCGAACTAATTAGTGACACCTTGTAAGCTGAAGTATTCTCAAAGCTACTCAGGCCGAACACAAGGAAAACGCGAAGTCGAACCTTCTCATCCATAGAATCTCACCAAAATATATTAAAGTTCAAATTTGTGAAATGCGGCTTGCACTGGTCAACCAAATTTGTCCTTGCTTGTAACCAAACCAAAGTCGGTCACAACTTAACAAATTCCAGCGGTTTCCATCAATTAGTATGCGCTCTGTTTATCATTTGGGAGCATGTAATTCATTTGTTTGACTTGCAGTATACCAAAAGAAAAAAGGAAACAAAGGGATGTCATCACGTCTCGTCATCAACGTCTAACTGCTCTTGTGTGTCTTGTTCTGATTGCTCCTCGTCATCTAAGAGAGCAGCGAATTTGCTCTTCATGTGGAAGACCTGTTGGTAGGAAATAAAGTGCTTGATTAGTTGCCTTTCTTTTAAATGATGCCTGGAAAAAAATTGGTCCAAACAATGATAAGGAAATTAAAAGTAACCTCGTTTTAGAAAGCATTTGCCACAAGCTTTGAACAAAGAACACTCTTAGTCGTCCGAAGGATCTTGCCCCTAAAACCTTCCGATTTTGTGGTGAGGGAACTCATAGCAGTTTTCTGTTTAGTGTCAAACTTAGTATTGGATTACACAGGTTTTACTCGCTTTACTCGGTTAATGGCCTGAAAAAGACTAGTGCCCTCTTTAACAGTCAAATTCAAAATCGTTTACTTGAGGCGATTCGAAGGAAGGTCAAGAGTAAAGAATTGACAATCAGATCACTTACCGGTTGCTGGGCTTCCTCGTATTTCTTGGGCTCAACAGGTCTCCGCTCTCTCTTCTCTTTCCTCACTCCTCTACCACCTCCGTCCGGACCATTCACGCTTGCCCTGTCGCCCCTGTCAGTTCTATCGCTTCGTTCTCCTCGTTCAGGGCGTGTTCCTCTACCCCTGCCCTTTGGCGGACCCCCACCTTCTCTAAAATCCTTGCGAGGGCCAGGCGGTTTGCTGGGGAAACCCTTTCTGTCTGAGGACGTGGGAGAGGTGGGAGACGTCACTGTCATGGTGCTACTGTCCACGTTGATCTCCACTCTATGCTCCCCTGTGGGACTCTTTGGCTCAACCGTTCCCGTGGACGCCGCTTTCTGCTGCTCCATCCGCTGCGCCCACACATTCACAGCAGGAGGTGGGGCATCCTTAGGTGCCTCCTTCACTGCTGCCTTGACCTCTTTTCCACCTCCCTGTGAGTTTTCCCGAGAGGTGGGCTCAGCGTCCTTGCTTGGAGTACCCTCGTCACTAGACCTCGCGCTGTCACGCCGGCTGCGAAAGTCCGGGTTGTCTCGTCGATCTTTTCCTCCCCTTTCTCCATCGCTCGAACGATTGCTGTCACGCCGCGCTCGACCACTGGAGCCTCGTGGCCATTCGTCACGCTCTCGTCGTTCTCTCTGTCTCTCTTTTTCTTGCTTCAATTTTGCTTCGTCCTCAAGTTTTTGTCGAGCAAGTTTCTCTTCGATTTCTCGCTCTTTAGCGGCCGTGTCGACAGGTTTGGCGCCGCCAAACACAGAGTTGTCTGCTGCAGTTTCGCCTTTAGTTTCTTCCACCGGTTTAGTGCGAGGCTGGAGCTGAAGTCTTGGCCTCTCTCTGACTGTAAGGAATTCAGAAAATAGTGTTAGAGGGGCGAGACTAAACAATTTTCGCTTTTTTTTTTCTTAACTGAGAAAGACATCGTCACTTCCCTATTTACTTATTTATTTAGTATTGTTTTCAAAATTACAATTCAAACTGACTAAAATGAAACACCCATGATTTCCAAGGCTTTTCTGTGATAATACAGCGAAGCGATATTTGTAATAAAAGGGAACAAGGTGTCACTCTTACCAGGCTCTCTTTCGTCTCTATCAAAGTCGCTCCTTGAATCACGACCACGGTCAGAGTCACGCCATGAGCTTCTTTCGCGGTCATCATAATCACGCCTTCGATCTCGGTCACCATAACGATCTCCACCTCGACGATCGTCGAAGCGGTCGCCACCTCGGCGATCATCGTATCGATCACCCCCTCGGCGATCATCGTATCGATCACCTCCTCGGCGATCATCGTAGCGGTCTCGGCCATAACCGCCGTAGCGATCACCCCCCCGGCGATCGTCGTAACGGTCTCGCCCATATCCGCCGCCCCGATCTCTATCGCCACCGTAACGATCCCCATAACGTCGATCGTCAGGGCGATCTCGGCCACTGTCGTAACGGTCTTGACCTCTGTCGTCTCGTCTATGTTGGATTAAAAAGTAACGAGGTTCACGTGCAAGAACAAGAAGTTTGTTGAAACGAAACAATCTACAAAGCGAGACAGAACACGGACTCACCCAGAATTTACTTGTGGGAGGAAGCATTACAATTATTTCATACCTGTCTCTGTCTCCGGAATCCCAGTTGCTGCCAAATCCCTTTCCTCTGTCACGATCCCCGTACCGATCGTCTCCTCGGCGCTCTTGGTATCCCCGAGGTCCGTCATCGTATCCTCGTTCCCGTCCTCCCGATCTATCCCAAGAAGGTCCATCGTCATATCCTCGGTAACCCGATCTATCGCGAGGTCCACCATCGTCACCTCGAGGACCCCATCGATCTCGGGATCCACCATCGTCATTATATCTGTCGTTGTTACCATTTTGGGTAGGGGGAGGATCAGGTTTGCTTCGCCAGTCACTGTCCGTTCGATCAGGTTCGTTATTACGATCCCGGTCACCGCGCTCACGTTCTGTTAACAAAAGAGCGATTTACCTGTTAAACATTTGTGATTTTACAGGTATCCAGCAACTCAGGCGTTCTTTTGTATCCACATAAAATTGCTATTTGCGATGGACAGTACAGTCTTCGAAAAAACAAGTTCTTGACTACAACCTAACAAGAAACTGTAGGGGGGAATTTTTCTACATGATTCCAAAAATGAATCCTTGTTTTTCCGTCCATATTTAAGACCCGAAATATCTGCTAGATGAATTCAAAGAGGATATAAATTTTTCAAATCTGACTAGCAAAGTAGAACACTACTGCACACGTGTCACTTGACGGGGTCCTATAAAAGACTAATCGAGAGCTAAGATACGATTCATTACTTTTCGTTTAAATTGCCTTCTAGATTTCACGTATACCGTATACAGAATGCATTTCTTTTGTCGAAAAAATCTAAAATATATCTAAATCGTACACCAGTACAAGTTTTCAAACGCAAGTGTATTTTGTACTAAAAGGCAACTTAAGCCAAACTGATAACAAGAGTACTTTCCAATCGAGTATCGTTAAACAATACCAAAGTAACCACAATGACAAATCTAGAGCAATAGAACATTACAAAGCAGTAAAAACAAGCAAAATTCGCCAAGCGGGGGAAAGTACGAGCAAACCAATCGCCCTTAGTTCTAGTTTTGCATTGGCTAGTTGAGGAAATTGCGCGAATTTTGTGGACCAATCACACACCGTCATAAAGCAAGACCAATTACAACTGCGGATTACTATCGACACTCAAAGTACATGAACTATTCTAAAGCTGCCGATCAAAGGGAGGAGGGAGAAGAAGGGGGTGGGACTCAATAAAGACATGAATTTCTCGTTACGGGAGTTTCCTTAAGACGGAGGGTAGGTCATTACTAGAGCTTTACATTATATGAACAGAATATCAATAAGTAAATCAAGATCTTCACCTTGCTGTTGTTGTTGTCCAGCAACGTCGACTCGTATTCTTCTGTTTTTCAGATGCTACAAATAAAAAGGAGAGCAAAAAAAAAAAAAAAAAAAAAAAAAAAAAAAAAAAAAAAGACAGATCAAAATACAACCAAAATAAAGCTTGGGCTTATTCAAATAACACAAAATCGAGTCTACCGTGCTAGCAATGTCACCAATTTCAGTAAAGATATTTGATGATGTTTTGGTGCTCTAAAACACACTGACTCTTTCATCCTCAAGATATATAAAAGCTGAGTTCCTTTTTTTTAACAATCATTTCAAGAATACTATTTACATACAGTTCAGAGCCACCTCAATTTTTTGATAATTTAAAATACTAAAGAACAGGAGTAACAAAAATCTAAGTTAGGAGTGTTTCTGAGATGCTGCAGTGTTGCTGTTATGCCAAAAAAATTCAAAAAATAACTAAAAATAAAATAAAACGAAATGATAAAAAATAATTGGGTATTTTTAGGAACCATATTCAACCTTAGATATAAGACTTGGAACAATTACTGGGATTTTATATTTTTGACAATTGCTCAAAAGTCATTCAGAATTCATTTATGGTACTATCTCTTTTTAATACAAGAACATTTATGATGGAAATGCCTCATTCTTTAAGCTTATTTCAAGTCATGAAATCATTCTTTATCAACAGCATTATTATAGGTATTTCTTCAATTGACCTTTAAAGCAAATTTTAAATTCAACATTCTCTTAAGGATTGGATACAAGTGAAGCCAAACTTTGTTGCTACAGTGTATGTCTAGCAGCCTGATGAGAAAGCTATTGGTAGTTGCTCCAGAAAACCTGTTGTTGGCAATTTTTTTCAGCCTGTGTTGAACTGAATATTCCTTTTCAATTAAACTCTAATTTTTAAAACTACATGTACCAGTACCATGTTACAGTTTGGAGGTAGATCTTTACATTCTAGTTCAAAACATTTACCTCATTGTTTAGACTCAGAGCAGCCAAAAGTGATTGCTTATCCTCAAACTCTGCATAACCAAACCCTTTCAGTCGGCCATTGCTGTCTTGAGGCAGCCTCACTTCAGTGATCTGTACGACAAAAAAACCTACTGTGAGGTACAAAGCATGCACAGATATCAAACTCTGAGTCATTTCATTTTCAAGTGGACACGAAGTGATCTTGGTTCTTCAATGAAGCTCCTTAAGTAGTTTTGAAAACTCAGTACATTTTTTAATAATAAGAATGAGAGTTAAATGAAATGCCTAAATTCTTCTTAAATTTTTTTTCAAAAAATGGCTGTTCCCTAGCTCACCACTAGTGTTAACCACTAAGTGAAATAAAAGTTACACAAAACTTGGAGACTTAAATAAACCTATGTATAAATTAAGGTATAGATAAATAAATACGTCTTGTTCATCTGCACAAACAAAGTACTGTTGTTAAAGAGAGTGCCCTGAGGTACAAAATAACATACTAGGGTGCCCTTGAGTCTTGCCAACAGGCTCTATTTAAAGCATCTCAATTTTAAGGAGAAGTGGTTGGAGGGATGTGACAGGACAGAGAAGGCTAGATCAAACTATTGCCAAATTAAAAACCCTATTCACAAGGTGGTTTATGGGTAATACCAGCTTTGATGATAACTACACACAGACTTTGTACACTTGAGAAGGAAATCAAGTAATTCATTAAGTTTTCTGCTGAGGAAATTTCCTTTGTAAACATACATTTACCCAGCTCCAAGGACAGCCCCTTGTCAAGAAATTCTGGGATACCATAGGTGTGTTGCAGTTATTGATGTTTTATGATAAGAAACAACTTCTACATATCTTTATGATACCAAATAGCTCTGTCATATAATTTCCACACATACATTTTTAAGGTAATAAACTACACCCAAACACTTTATACCTTTTTGCCAGCAAAAAAGTCAAAGATGTCATCCCTGTCCACATCATATGAGAGGTTTCCAAGGAATGCTGTGTAAGGGGGGCCATCTGGAACTTTGGAGACATCTATGTCAGGGCCTCTGGATGCCCTTGGTGCAGTTGGAAGGGACGCTCTATCCATTGCTGCACGGAGTTTGTTGTCTGTAGAGATTCCCCCATAGGCCTCTTCAGGCCATGCAGTGTCCACTATGAATAAATAGATTAAAGTTTCAAGTTAATGCTTCATTGTCTAAACATTTACATGTATTTACCCTCCATCACTGCATCAAGGTATTGGAAATAGTCAATTTATTCTCTTAAAATGTCCTTGCACAAATAAACAAGTTAAAGACCAATCAATGAAAGGGGTTGGTTTCTGAAGAAACTGTGGTGCTGCATTGGTCAGGGGGATCACCATATATTTTGGTTTTAGCAATTCAGTCGATGATGTAAAATAGCCACCATAAAGAGTTTCTAGAGCTGAAGCTGACAGTTTGAGTGTTAGCTTTTCCTCAGAACAAATGACCCCGGGTTCTATCAACAGGAAAAGAAAAAAGTTGATTTCACTACAGCCTAAGAGTGAATAATTGAAGTGTAAATAATGAGAAGTCAAGATAAATAGACTTTAGAGTCATAGATGGCCGAAGATGATATCATCATGAGACAAGTACTGCTGCTTCCTGTTCAACATATATACAAAATATCAACTTTTATAAAATGGCTTTTGTTGAACAAAAGTTTACGCTCTGCTGGTCAAAGATAAAAGAAAAATAATTCACTATTAACTTGTGTGGTTCTTATTTTCCTATAGAGATACCATAATAAGAAAAATCCTGCATCAATTAATATGTAACCTCAAAAAGGATTTTCAGTGGACAAATTTTGAAACACAAAACCCCCCTTCCCTCTCTTTAAGAATGGAAGCCATAATTTGTGTTGTACTTGTCTCTACATTGAGCTCTGTCCACCTCATGGAGCCCTGTCATAAGGCATTTAATTTTCACAAATTCTAAGTGGGATTTCATTCATTTCATTACTTTCATTTTCCCAGAATCCCAAATCTTATGCATGGCTACCAGTGAACTTCTCAGAAGAATTCCTAAATTGTGGGAAAATATAATGACCATCAACAAAAGAGAATAGTTATACCCTTAATTTTTGGCAGATCAGCTGATTAAGCTGAACTCTCCGGGCTCAACACTAATGGTAACCCACTAGACTAGTAGAAATTCAGTTTTGGCTAGTAGTTCTCAATTTCCACTGGCCAGTTACTGAACAAACTAATATTGTTGCAACATCTAAGATGTCACTAGCCACTTAACTAGTAAGTTCAAAAGTTAGTGTCGAGCCCTGACTCTGAACTTCTCAGTTTTACTAGACCACATCTGAATTTTGTGATGCCAGGATTTTCTCAAGTTCAGAATACACATCCCAGTTTTTTTCCTCTTACTCCTTTTGAGTCTAAAGTATTTTCTTTTTTATTTTACAAGTAGCATTATTTTCATCATAAAATGTTTCCCTGCATCGGGATTCCATATCATCAAAAACCTGCTTACTATTTAACAATTGGTTCATGCTTTAGCATGCACTATCGAGTTATGGAGCATGCGGGAAGTTTGGAGAGCACGAAAGAAGCGTAAGAGTTGCCCGAGGCGATAGCCTCGGGCAACTCTAGCTTCTTGAGTGCTCTCTAAACTTCCCATGTGCTCCATAACTCGATAGTGCACAGCTAAAAGCATGAACCAATTGTATTAGAACATAGCCGGTGGAATTGTGCATCAAATGCGACGCGAAAAACGGACAACAATATCAGTTGAAGCGAATTGGACGACGCTGATGCCGAGTCTCCTTTTCCTTTGTTTTTCTCTTTTTCTGCCTCCTTTAAGAACTCTAGCCCATGGGAAAAGGTCGAAACATTGTCTTCGTTTTCGGAGTAGCAGCTGAGTTTCTGTTTGTATCCATTATTGTCGCGAAATGTATTATTTTTCCCTGCACTAGCAATGGCCACTCGCGCGAAGAAAAAATTTTTCTGGCGAAGTCGGATTTGCTGACGCTATCAGCGTGCACTATCGGGATTTTGAGCACACTCACGTATAATGAATTTGATTGCGCGACTCTGCTAGCTATGTTCTAATTAAAAATAACATATTCCTTAGGATAAACCAGAGTTACATTGGTTTCTTTTGTTCAGACTTTCTATGCAATGATTTTTTTCTCTTGAGAGCTCTGCAACAAACTATTGTTTTTTTTCCACAGGAGAAAATTTAGAAAACTGGTACAAGAGATAAAAAAAGAAAAATAGCTAGGGACTACTTTTTTTACCCTCAATATCCTTTTACATTATGTTTGACATGTTTCCTCTAACCTTTAAATTTTTTTCTCATATCCCATTTGTCCTACCTGAATAAAGAAAGGTTTAAGGTTGTACAACAAAAAAAATCCAGTTATCAAATTTATATTTTTTTTAACTCAAGAAAAGGCAAAATCTCTATTTCACAGTGAACTGTAAATACATATAAAATCTCTATCTTTCTCTATGACATTTCTGCTAAGGTAAGTGTTGTTAAAACATTTAAATTCTAAGTTAAAATCAAAGCGGTTGTAAGACACGTCATCCAGTTAGCGCACATGCACGAGGTAACTGATTATCTAAATACTTCCTTATAAGCTAATTTGTACTTGGTAATGGCTGTATTTTGTCTAAACGTCTTTACAGAGTCATTAATATTACAATTGAAATACTGTTTTGAAAAATGTAACCAATAAAACGTTAGTGGCAGACATGGGAAAGGAAATGGAGAAACTATTCGCCAATCGCATCTCTTTGAATATAACTGATTTACAGAAGTCGGTCTGGAGGCCTTTTCGAGAGAATTACCATAACATTACCTAGCTTCGAGAACCACACATAGGTACTTGAAAGCAGCTCGTTTATTTACAGTTGATTGCAACCACAAAAAATTCGTTTCTATCAATATAATACAAGATTTCACAATCACACGTAGCTTAAAATATCTTGTATGCATGACTTGCCAGCGAGTCGTATTGACTGTTTTATTTTTCACCGCGAAGTTTTATGAGCGTAGCAAAGATCCACTAAAGTCAAACAGAGCAGGACAATCAATTGTGTTTTCTTCGAAAAAAATAAAAATTTAACACTGTTTAAAACAGCGCTACACTGAGTTGAAAGTAAATTGAATCATTGTTAAACATATCGGTTTAAACACATAGCGTAGCGAGATCTTTGGAAGCCCCTGTGATACTGTTTTACTATATTAAGCCCATGAATCTCTCAAAAAGAACTTTAAATACCTTCAGTGCTCAAGTTCTCACTCTCATCCGCCCAACTCGTCGATCTAGCTGAGAATATTGCCGCATGAGCAACTGCCGACGATCCGTTTTCGCCATCTTTCGCCAAGAACTCGGTCAGGGCCAAAGTCTTCCCCTTTTTCTTTTTAGCTTTTTTAGCTGTAGCAAAAAGCGGAGTGTATTATAAAAGAGTTACAATAAAAGATGTCTTATCCTGTCGAAAAGACACAAAATCGGGATAAATGGAAAACAAGATCGAATATAAAGAAGAAAGCACTGAGCCAAGTATGATCACCTGTTTCCGCCATCTTGGACAACGTGTCTGCGAGTCCCGGATGTTGTCCCGCGGTCATGGTCAGTTCGCGCCATCGAGCGTCTTTACCCGCGCCCGTGCAAACATGAATATTTCACTAAAAGACAAGTGATAGTTAAACATTATTGGAAATTTGAGATAGTTCTAAGCACGCATACAAATGTTGCAAAAAAATAATAGGAAGTATGTAAATGTCGACTTCAAATTGAGCAAGCTTAGACCATTGTTAATCATAGGCCCGCAAGGCGTAGAAAATTATAAAATCTTGTGACCGGCGCAACCAATCGAGGGCTCTGAGTTAAAAGCGATATTTTGTGCGCAAGAATGCTGTTATGCTTTTTCCGATTCGACTATGGATGAGTACAATGAAAAGCACTAGTATAACCCACTTAGGTATCATCCATAAACCGAAAAGCCTCTGAAGAAGAATCTCTCGACCCACATAATGTTCTGCTTCAGTACGAGAAGCAGAACCTTCACCCTTCACCCTTCACCCTTCACCCTTCACCCTTCCCACGAGAGGTGGGAAGGGTGGTCGGTAAGGTATAAAAAAGCATCGCGAGGGAGTTTGTTCATTTTTCATTTTCTGGATGGGGGGGTCAGCAAAAACTCTGGGCAATATAGAGAATGAGGAATCCTGATCTTCCAACTGACACCAACGTAGCCATTCAAAACATAATACAGCAATATGCAGCTAAATGATCTCGGTCACATCATCTAATTATTAAAGAAAAACTAGCGGTTTCTACAACGGATAAAAAATGTTCGGTAAATAAAGTCTTCAACGTATTTGAAATATTTAGACGTGTAGTCTTATGCTTATGGGGAAAAACAAATCATCTTACCAAAGAGGACAAAAATCAAGCAAAAAAAAAAAATTAAAAAATGACTTACGATTGAAATGAGCAATAGGTAAAAGAGCGCAAGTTCAACAGATTGTCCAAGAGGAGCAGGAGAAATAAGAAGATTGGGGGGAAAACAAGAAAAAAAGGGAAAGCGGATATATGGTAGGGGAGGAGGGGGAGGGGGGTTAGGGATGAAGAAAGAAAGATGAAAGGAAGGAATTTATGTAGGATTAGCCTCATCCGGGCGTTTAGCAAGTAATCGGTGAAAAATCCGTGCGAAACAGTTAAAGTGCGGTAGCAGCGGCAAAGCGAAAAATGAGCGAGGTTTGGGTCGGGTGGCGTAGATAAGGGCGTTCATGAGAGATTTAGCACCGTGTGAAACGTGAACGGCAAGAGTGACCACGTGACGTTGGTTTTCCCTCCATTATCTCACGTTTGCCGGTTGCGCTTTGTCACTTTTTCTCTTACATAGTAAGAGTTAATCGCTGGAAAAAGGGCACCAAGCTATTCTATAGTAAATGGTTTGAACCCGGGGGTAACATGTGAAGGTGTAGTCTGATCGTTCGGGAGAGTGTAGTCCTGAGAAGGACTGTTGTCGGTGGTAGTGACTGACGTTTCGACAACCTGTGCGGAAGTCATCATCAGAGTCAAGTGATGGTGACTTGACTCTGATGATGACTTCCGCACAGGTTGTCGAAACGTCAGTCACTACCACCGACAACAGTCCTTCTCAGGACTACACTCACCCGGACGATCAGACTACACATTCACAAGCTATTCTATGTAAGTCATACCAGAGCGCCTTCAAATCCACCATGACATGAGCTCACTCGAAGCTAAGGCGGCAAAGTTCACGCTGTTTTACATAAAACGTGAAAGGGCAAGCTGACGTTTGCCGTTTCACGTAAATGTGTTGCTAAATCTCTCTAGACCACATGTCGTTCATTACGCGACCCGACCCAAGCCTCCCTCCTGCAACTTTCGTGCCGTTTACCGTCACCCTCGTTTTAAATACTAAACGTCTCACTGGAACACGCTGACGAAGGATATAATAATTAAAGCAGAGACTTCCACCCGGGTAAGTACGTGAGGAAAAGGGCTAGAAAGATATAATTCATAACAAATAGTCTTTTACTTCAAAAAATCCTCTTGAAGATAAGACAACACTGCAGTACAAATATTTTCCTCTAGTAGAGACACCTTATTGCCGGATTTCACTATCACACCATAATCAAAACCATTAAACAAATCAAGTCAAGAATCAAAGAGTTAAATAAATGAATATTCAAACAGTCTCGCAAAGATTCAGGTATGTGCAATGTTTTGTGCGGAAGATATTGGAAGAAATGTTTCCCTCAAATGTATAAGGCTTTGTATAAAGATGCCGTGTTGGTGTCCCTCGAGGGACCAATTATTAACTAAAATCTCAAAAGGATTGATAATTCCTTATTTTCAATGTTGATGACGTCACGTGAAAACCAAGAACTGGGAACAAAAAAGACCATTAGTTCCACTGGTTTTCTTGGTTGAATAATTTAACTAACTACCTTCAATATCAAACAAGAGCATACTAAGACAGAACAAGACGAGAACTAAAACAAGTTTCATCACTCCGGTAACATAAGTCAGAAATCAGTGGAAACGAAATGAAATGAGGAGTGAATCTGCGCTGAGTGGCAAAAGTAGTTGGCACACTCCCCTCCCCCCTTTAGTAGGTGGTTAAAAAAATTTGTTACTTGAAAGTCCACCCTTTCACCCAAAACAATGTTGCAATAAATTAGAGACTAGTTAATTTAAATCACCAGGCGCCACTGATATGGGGAAGAGGAAGAAATAAATGAAAGTTATATAAAAAAAAAAAAAAAACGTAGAGCGTGCTAAGTTTTTGCCACTCAGTTTAGTTAAGTTCAACTGATAGCTGAAAAAAAAAGGACTTGGCCCAGTTCAGACATTGAACTTTGTGTAAGCCAGATTCACGTCGTCCAAAATCGAGAGGGTTGTTCTTTCATGTTAAGGCAAAAATAGAGACTACCGTCAAGATACGGTAAAATGTATTGGTCTACATTTAGATCATCATCTGAACTAAGCCATAGTGTTTAAGGAAGATCTTCAACTAGTTTGAACAAATGCGCGTATGGATAGAAACAATTCAAGTGTGTTTATAAACGTGAACAGATTCAACATGGCTCTAAGCCTACGTGCTCAATTCAAAATCGAGATAGTTAGTATTAGGAACCACCAGTTATCAAGCCATGCCAAGGAATTCCGTGTACAAAATAGCTTCGTTTGGGCACCAAATAGATTTACTCTTCGCTGCCTCTGGTAACCCGTAAATATTCAGGAAAATCAAAACGTCTGCGCCTTTTTTTCAAAGAAGATCAAGCTTTTCGAGTCTTAAGTACTACTCAAGTAACATCGACAATGTAAAACACCCCCCCCCCCCCCGGCGTATTGGATGTGATTGCGCCTTTGTTCACACTGCTCCTTTCTTTTGGAACCCGCTGCCATCAGCGATTAGAACCTGTAATAGCCTCGCCATTTCAAAAAAACAAAACAAAACAAAACAAAAACATCTTAAAACAATAATTTTTTTGGAAAGTTTTAAGTTCAGTGGTTTGCAGTACTTAACTTAAAGCGCTTTTGCATATCTCTCTTAATCTATTACATTAACCCCATATAAATTAAATTATCATTATTATTACTATAATCACTGCTTCAATACATTGAAGAATCTTTTTTTCAGGGTTTAACTTAAGAAGGATTTAAAATATAGCATAAAACCTTTTAGCTATCATAAGTAGTAAAAACTGGTCGTTCATAAAATTTACTCTTTCAGAGATTTCCTAAAATCCATTTTCTAAAACTACCAACTTTTCGATCACTAGTTAGAAGAAATGACGCTAATTTTTTTTATTTTGAAAAGTTCTATTAAAAAAATCTAAGAATATAAAACATTCTCACTAATATAATTATACACTATATCAGTTTCTTTTTTCTACGTGAGAGAGTCGTGTTCATCGTCATTTCGTTCGACTTGCACCATGCAAAATAAACGCTTGGACGTAAATCTGGAAAGAAACAAAAAAACCAATCCAAATTAGTCTCCGGACAAAGATCGACGAATACTTTTATTGGACACTTATCTGACGAAAGTCTTATCGAGGCCGAAAATTTGTTGAAAGAAAATCGGTTTTATCGACTGAGTTGATAAAGATATAGGCCACCGTTAGGAGTTTCTACAAATGATATATCCCCGAATTTCTACAGTTGATATATCCCAACCGACGCAGCAACACAGTTTCTTTAGCAAACTTTCCCCCTTAAAATTTTATTAGTGAAGGCGACTTGACACTTGTCCAGGAAACCGTAAAGGGGAATAGAGAACTTGAACTCCAGTAATTTACTTTAAGAAGTATCTTTAACAAGCTTTTTCGCTAGCGTTGGAGAGAAAGAAAGGGCTAACCCAGGGATAGATGTTAAAGTTGCAGTGCAAGCACTTTTCCGCTAAGCCTAAATTACCACTTCTTGTATTTCCCCTTTATGAAATCACGTGGGATTCTTCAACTTTCAATTGGCAATCAAATATGGCTGCTCAAAAATATTCCAGATAACCAGTTCTTAACCCATTAACTCCCAGAAGTGATTGACAAGTAACTTCCCCCTATAATATCCATACGTTATCCAGCAACAGGTAATGAGAATACGCAAACGTATCACACACCAAACTCCTTCTAACTTATAAGGAAACGTGTAGCAGTTAGGGGGGGGGGGAGAGAGGGGGGAGAATTAAGAATCAGATCATGGGAGTGAAAGGGTAAACCACCCACCAGGCCCAAATATACGCATGGCATGCACGTTAAGGCACGTTTTGCCGGAGGCAAACAAAAAATGCTCAGCACAAGAACTAACCTGGAGAGGGTGTTATCAAACACAAGGATATACACTCCAGGTGACACGTCTGTTACTTCACCCTTGACGGACTTGCAATGGGAGTTACACTGCGATAAAGGCACTACGGTCTGTTGGAGAGATAAGTATATGTGACGTTAGAAACAGAAATATGGGAGAAAAGTGCTGTAGTACAAAAAGGAACAAAAAGCTTGGGCTACCAACGTGACCCAAATTTAAAAAGAATAAGAAAAGAGATAAATGAAATCAATCAATAAATAAACAGATAAATATGTAAATAAATGAAAACAATAGTAACAATTATTACGTTTTGCGGAGCAAGAATGCGCTTTTCCTTTTTTACTTTACCGCCGGTTACTCGAACGGCTCATGGATTGGTTTACCTTGTTGCTTTAGATACAGGTAAACTAGTCTTATAAAAGAAAGTTACACCGATCGAAGAGCAGATCTCCTACCTCGCATTCGCTGTCTTTCTTTGTCTCCGAAAGTTTGAAGGCAACCCCAAAGCGTATGCTCTGAAACGGAACGATCATGATCAGCTCTGACCTGTTCCCTTCCCATTCACTATTGTTACCCTGTAACCCACTCCCCTTGGAGCTTTTATCTTCTATACCCAAAATGTAATCTTGGATACCCCCTTAAACCATCCCCATTCTGTCAGCTCAATTATCATCGTTGTATTCCCCCTTACTCCTACGCTTTGCCAAAGTTCCTCTGAATTTTTATAAGGCATAACAGCGCCACACGACCGCTTAATGCGTGAATAAATTCACCTTTTTTTCGGTCGAAAACTTCCATGATAGCGTCGCTCTCTGAGTCCCAACCAGTATCGGAATCAAATGACGTTTTCCGGGAGATACGGTTACGTGCCAAAACGGTCCCGGCTCCTCGTTCAACGCCGGTATCGCTAAGTCTTCTCTAATGTCACTTTCACAGACAACCACTCGAGCTTGCGGCTGTTCAAAGGCTTGTTCGTCTCCTTCTTCCAGAAACTCATATTCTTCTTCTTCTTCGTCTTCCTCCGATGAATTTCTAGGCTGGGGTTTTTGTTCCGCATATTTTTTGCCTTCTTCTTTAGCTGCGGTCCTCTTGGCTTTTTTTAAGGTGGTGTATTTATGATGCTCATCACTTGTAGCACTTTGGCTACGCTCTTTGTCGCTGCTTCCTTTTCTGTCAGTTTTCTTTGGAGTAGAGGTGTACTGAGGACCTTCCGGGAGATCTACACCGGAGGTACTGGGGCCTAATAAGTTACCATGGAAATAACAATTTACTGTAAAACGTTATAAATTAGACACAAGAAGTAGGATTAATTGATAACAAGGTAAAAGGTATGTAGATTAAGGTAAAGTGTTTATGAATCGCGCCCTAAAACAAGCAAACTGCGAATAAATTTGACATAAATATATCTTATTAGACGTTTTGTTGTGTAGTATCGTTGAGTATTTTTACGAGTTGTGCCGTATTTTGACGAGCCCGTAAGGCGAGTCAAAATACAAATAACGAGTAAAAATACCCAGCGATACTACACAACAAAACGTCTAATAAGTTATTTATTATCCA